TCCTGGGCTCTTCGCCAGGAGGGTTTCTGGAAAGTTTCCCGGGCTTTTTTTTTTTTTTTTTTTTGCTCCGGGAGCCTTCCCAAAGCGTTTCAAAACCTCACGCAAAAAACAATTCAGACACCTACCAAAAACCCTCCGAACACCTTCAAACAAAAAACGCCTTCCAAAAGCCTTCCAAGAACTTTTCAAGCAAAAAAACAACCTTACACCATGTGGCGCAATCGCCAAGTGCATCCCGAACGCCTTCCAAAAACTTCCGAAAAGCCTTCCAAACAACCCTTCCAACGAACACCCCCTGAAAGCCTTTCGAAGAACATCCCGCACACCTTCCAAAAAACCGTTCAAAAACCTTCGTGACGAGGGTTTCGCGTTGGAAGGTTCTTTGGAAGGTCCCAGGAATCCTGGATTGCTCGCGACGAGGATTATTGGAAGGCTTTTGCTGGAAGGTTTTTTTCTTTTTCGAAAGCCTTCCAAAAACTGCCCAAACAACCGGTCACCTCCCCACACACACACTACCTTTCAACAGCCGTCAGAAAACCTTCCAACAAAGCTCCCAGGCGACCTCCCAACGCACCCTCCAAAACTTAGCAAAACCGCCCACCACACTTAAAACAACCATCCAGAACACCTTCCAACAAACCTGTCAAACACCTTCCAGCAACCTTCCAAAAACACAAACACTGTCCAAACACCTTCCAACAACCATCCAAATAACTTTTCAAAAACAAACCCCAACAACCTTCCAACAATCTTCGTGACGAGGGTTTGTAGAAGGTTTGGGAAGGTTCCAGGAATCATGGGTTCTTCGTGACGAGGGTTTTTGGACGGTTTGTCTGGAACCCTTCCAAAAACCTTCCAAACAACCTCCCAAACAACCTTCCAAACACTTTCCAATAACCTTCCAGGCACCTTCCAAACACCTTGCAACACATTTGTTTAAACACCTTCCAACATGTAGCGAAATGGCCCAACAACCTCCCAGCAATCTTCCAAAACACCTGCCAACAGACTTTTCAAAACCTTCCCAAGACCTTCACACAACCCTTCCAACAAGCTCCTAAACACCTTACCTAACCTTCCAAATATCTTCCCAAACACTTCCCGGAAAACCTTCAAACAACCCTCCAGGAATCCCGGGTTCTTCGCGACGAGTTTTTTTGTTTGAAGGTTGTTGTAAGGATTTGTTCCCGAACACCTTCCAAACACCTTTCAAACGCCTCTCTCTGGCTCGGAGCCCATGCAGATACCTCCTCTGGAAATGGGCACCACGGGCGTTGGGGAATCTCCCCAGTTTCTTTCCAGTTGTGCCTTGCCTGTTGCTGTGGCACAGTATTGTTGCACCCTTGCGGTGCATTTGATTGCTCGTGCTGTGCCTTTCCTGCGTCCAGTGGAACTGCTTAGTGGAACTGCTCAGACAACCTGGCATGGTTCTTGACTTGCCAGGTGGCGCCATCGCTTTGAGAGCATTTGACGGCAGCCAGTCGAGGGCGTGCGAGGTGGGGGCAGGCAAACGTTGTGATCCATATTTTTTGATGTTCCCGATGACGGTTGGCTGAAAAGATAGGACAGTCCCCCCGAACACTCAGGGATGCTACCGGGTTGCTGTGCCTGGGGGCGTCGTAGTGTACATGAATCCGCAGGCACCGTCGGCTCAAATCCGCCTTTCGCAGCCAAGTGCCTCCTCTCCCGACATCTCGTGCGACGCTGAACCGCGCGGAGCGCGCCCTCGCCGAGAAGGGGCCGCAGCGGGGACCTCCAAGCGCCGGCAGGCCCGGTCGCCCCGCGACGGCCCCAGAGAGGCGGACGTGGAGAGGGAAGCAGGTCTGCCTGGAATTGCTCCCTATTCTGGGCCGCGTGACCATCGGGCGCCGCGCGGAGGCCCGCGTCGGTTTGAACGCCTGCGCTAACTTGATCGGGGGCGCCAGGCGCCTGGGCCAGGAGGCGGCGTCGCCCCCGCAACGGCCTCGCGACCCGCGACATTTCTCCCGGGCCCTGAAGATCTCCAGCGGGGAGTGGTTCGCGGCGGGCAGGCGGCGGGGGCGCGACGGCGCGGGCACCGCGGAAACCGACCAGGCTGCGCGCGCGCCCCGGGAAAGCCATGCGCCATCGGGGCGGCAACGAGACCCTGCGGTGGGCGCGCGACGATTGCCAGGCGCGCTGGGCGAGGCCCCCGATCGACCGCTTCATCGGCGCGGGCGCGCCGCGAGGCCAGGGGCGAGCGACTTTCGAGTGCGAGCTGAGAAGAGACCTGGGAGTGGGGCGACACTTGGGACTGCAGTTCGGGCTCGGGGTGAATATTCTTAGAGAAGCGACAGCAGCTACTAGTCCCTCCCTTTCATCCTTTTCCGGCGGCGCCCAAGATCGCCGGGGGCGCAGGGGGGGGGGGCTGCGATTGATGCCCGTGGAGATGTCTTCCAGCGTGCTTTCCCGCAGCCCGATGCTGGGTTGGCGTGGGAGACGGTTGGGGAGATTGCGGAGGCGTTTCTCGACGGGAGATTTGAGGTTGCGGGCCCGCGTGATCATCGATATCGCGGGCGGAACGCGCCACCGCAACTTATCGAGGGCGATGTTGCGACATATATACGCAGAGGTGCATCAGGGTGTCCAACGACGATCGGGTTTCGCAAACTGGGGCACATCATGGGGCGAATTTCTGAATTACGTTACCTCATTGGCAAATATGCGGGAGATCTTCCAGCCCGCCTCAGACGTCAAACATTGCAGGATCAGGTGCGGCCCCAGGTCTGCAGAGTTCTTCAACTTCCACGTTGAGGTCTCACGCAGTATCTCCCTGTTGACGCGGACCTACGACAGTGGGGGGCGCGTCTGAAGGCGAAACAGGGCTAGCTCGCGACCAACAGGATGAAGGCTCGCATTGCTGACTGGCGAAGACGATTGCGCAGAAGCTTGGGGCGTGAGGGAGGAAGAGAACTCTTCTCGTGGATCAAGCAGCGGCAGTGCTCGACACCGCGTGCGGCTCGAGCAGCAGACGGGGAGACCCTTGCCTCCAGAGCCGATGTCTTAGAACGCGCGCAGCAGGCGTGGGGGCCAATATACAACAGAGCTGCGCAGACGGAGTGCTTCCCAAGACAAGTACGGCAAGTGCATCATGAAGGTGGAGTGCGAGCCCCCACTCCTGGAGGCATCATTGGACGACAACAGTTCAAACATATGAGAATGCAACGAGCTCCAGCACTTGATGAGTGGCGCGTGGGGGAACTGCGGTTGCTTCCTGACAATTTCCGGGATATGTTTTGCCGCGTTGCTCAATGGAGTTGAAGATGGGTGGATTGGCTGGCCCAAGGTACTCACCATGGGCATGACATCTTGGTTGCCTAAGTGGGGGGCCGGTGCTGATCACGCTGCGGATGTTGACCCTGGCCAACTCTTGGTTGCAGAAGCCGACCAGATCAGGCCCATGACGACTTTGTCCCCTCTGCACACAGCCAGCGCTGGAGCTCGTTTTCTCCAAATGGCTGAGTGGCGCGAGGGGTAGCTTCACCACGGGGCTGCAGGAGCTCGAGCAGGATGCCGCTACCAGACGGCGGCATATGAGGTTGGCCCGGCTACTGAAGAAGCGCGCCTGACGAACACTTCCTTGACAGGTACATCGCGTGATCAGAAGAAGGTCTTTGACCTTCTAGAGCTCGATATTGGCGACAATCTTATGCTAGCCTCGGGCGCCCCACTCATGATTGTCAATGCCTTCGAGCTTTTCTACCGCAATCTGACATGCAGGTGGAAGTCATCGAGAGAAGTGCCGCCATAATGGAAGAGGAAGAAGGAATTCCTCCAGGGAGACAGCTGGAGCCATCAACAGGCGCTGGCGCTCATGAGTATGTGGTCGTATGCTGTGGAGGACGCCGCCACTGTTGATGCTTCTACATTGATCGATGATGGTAGTTATCGGGCAACTGGACCTGGCCATGGGCGGCAGGTATCCTCGGCGACGCAAGCCCCCTTTCAATTCGGTGAATATGCAGGCGCGCAGACGAACATGTCCAAAACGAAGTTCGTCGCGATGTCCAGGAGGGGGGGGGGGAGGTGGAGGGGGGGGGCGAGGCGGAGCAATGACAGGACCGATAGGTCACGGCTTGACCAGGGCCCGCGATCGGTCACAACTTGAGCCAATCCGATTACGGAGACGCGGTGGCGACGGCGTCCATGACTGGCAGTTCGAAAACTGCAGAGCAAAGCGGTTGGCTTGCCGAGGAGGAGGAGGGAGGGGGGGGGGGGAATGGGGGGGAGGAGGAACTACGTTCGAAAAATGCAAAGCAATGCGGTTGGCCCGCTGGGGAGGGGGAGGAGGAAATGTAGGAGGAGGAAATGGAGGAGGAAGAGGGGGAGGAGGAGGAGGAGGAGGGAGGAGGAGGAGGAGGAGGAGGAGGATGGGGGGGGGGGGGCGGCGGGGGAACGGGGGGGGGAACGAGAAGGAAAAAAACGACAACGCCCAGACATTGCCCAGACGACGCCCAGAACGCCCAGCCAACGCGGAGACAACGCCCAGGCAATGCGCCGGCACTTCCTCCGACTCCGCCCCCCCCGCCCCCTTCCGCCCGCGCCCCTCCAACTCCGACCCCCCCGTCGGGGCAGCGCCGGGCGGCGCCAGACAACGCGCCAACTAAACAACAAGAGAAACAACAAACATAACGCAACCAACAAAACACATTTTTTTCTTTTGCCACGCTGTTCGGCGCCTGCCAGCGCCGCGGGCGCCCGGCCAACGGAGGGCGGCGCAAGCGACGCAACGCAACGCGATAACCACAACAAGCAACGAGAAATCAACGCCCAGACAACGTCCAGCCACCACCCCCAGGTAACATTAAACTGACATCCAACGGGGTAGACGCGGAGGAAGCGCAGGGGGGGCGCGGGGGGGGCGCGGGAGGGGCGCGGGAGGAGGGGCAGGGGGGGCGGCGAGGCAGGAGGGGCAGGAGGGGCAGGGGGGCGAGGGGCAGGAGGGGCAGCAGGGGCCGGAACTCGTCGAACTCCGCAATCGGTCACCCGCCGGAAATCATCCGCAGCGTCTGGTCGCGCACCTTGCACGCGCCGCGCATGGCGACCGTGCCGACATTGCTGATTTTGCAGCCCTGCGCAAGCGGATCCGCATCCTTCTTGTGCGCGGGGCATCTCGGCTCTCCCTGCGATGCGAGCAGGGCCTCAATGTCCTCGTCCTTCGCTTTGTCGTCGTCCGACTGCTGCTCCGCTGGTAGATCTTCAGGATCGCTTCGCTGCGCCTCCTCTGCTGGCTCTTCCCGCTCCCCGACCGAGGCGTCAGGCCGGGGGCCGTTGGCGAGGGCGGCAGCCTGGGAGCCGTCGAGGTGGGCGACACGCGGCGCGCCGTCGGGCTCGGCTTGGCTCTCGAGGGTGGGTGGGTGGGCCGTCGGCCTCGGGCTCGGCTGGGCCGTCGGGGGGGCCTTCGGGCTCGGCTGGGCTGTCAGGGTGGGCGCCGGGGGGCAGTCGGGCTGGATCCCGCGCTGGTCGACGGGCTCGCCGTCGGCCTCCTCTGCCGGCTGGTGGCTGTCGGCACTGGCGCCTCCCGCAGGCTGCGCGGGCTCCTCGGCTGGCGCCTCCTGCAGGCTGCCTACTGCAGCCGTGCTGTTTTGACGTACGAAGAGCGCCTGATGCACGTTCTGCGCTGCCGCTGCTTGCATGGGGGCTGGGCTGGCGCCTGGGCTCTCCTCTGGCAAGGTTGTCATCGCCGCGTTGGCGATGTCAGCTGCTGCGTCTCCTGGATCAGTAGCATCACTTGCAGGGGTCAGCAAAGCGGTCATGCCGCTGCGCCTGACTGGAGAGATGGCATGTCTAGGGCATGAGAATAGAGTCTCGCCACCTTCATCGTCCGAATGCAGCGGCGCGTTCGCTGCAGGGCGCTTGCTAACCCCGCGCATCCCGGGCGACATGGCGCGCGCGGGTGAGCTTCCGACGCGGCCGCCCGCCGCGTGAAACCGCTCAAATGGCTGCGCATGGAGAGGGCGTGCTAAGTGGCCCCGCCGCTGGGGCACGAACGTGCGAAGCGGTCGCGCCGCTGATCGGGGCCAGAAATATGTATCATTCATTGGTTTTTGGGGTTCTCGATCGCAGACGCTTAATTGAATGATTACACGGCGCGTTCTTCGTTTCGCTGCCTGCTGCCTCCTGGGAACGCGTAAACCCAGCGAGCGCGGCCATCGCCAGGTGCCAGGTGAGAACGACGCGCGCGCTGTAGATGCATTTTCTTTTACCGATGGAAAGCGACGCGATGCGCGATGCATCGGCCCTTCGGTTGGCTCGGGCGCCCCCCGAACAGACATTTGGGCCGCATGTGCCTATATAGCCGCGGCTTGTTCCCGTTCAATCAGCGCGCGTTTCAAGGCTGCCCGGCAATGTCGACGGGGATCTTCATAACCCAGTGAATATGTGCGCCGTTAGTCTCCGCAGGCCTCAGGCGCGGGAATGCGCGCGCCGCGCCGCAGATCGGTGCGCGCGCTCAAGCGAGGGCGCGGCCCTGCGTCGATCGGCCCGCCGCCCCAGGGCGCGCGCGGCGTCCGCCCCTGGACCCCCCGCCAGGCCGGACCGGTGGAATGACAGATTTTGCTGCTTTGGGCTGGCCAAAACCACAAAATCTTTCATTTCGCTGGTCGCGGGTCTGGGTTGCGTCCATGTCCGGGGCGGATGCGAGTGGTCCTTGCGTGCTTCTGCGGGGGGCTCGCTCTAGGGCGCATCGGGCCTCTCTTGGGGCCTGTCGCGCTCTTCCTCGGGTTCTCCTACTCGCTCTCCCGAGGCCCCCGTGGAGCTATTGGGCCCACTTGCGTCGATGTGGGAGCTCGTGGAGACGTCTCGGCGACGGATTGGGGATCTGGGTTTCACCGGGCGCCCAGGGTCGTTTCTCGGCGCGTTCAGGCCGACGTGGGACCCCCCGCGATCCCCAGCCGCCCAGAGAGCGCCATGGGCGCCTGAAGGGTTTCCTGCAGGCGGCGGGACATGGTGTCCAATTGTCGTGCGACGCAGTGCTGGGCGCCCCTTCAAATCGCAAGCTCGGTCGATTCGCACAATTGGCGTCGCGTCGCGAGGATGTCGGCCTCATCGCGATCAGCGATCATGTGGGCACGAGGGCCAGTACATCAAAATCTACAGGCCGACCAGTGATAGATAATCATTTCCCCCGCTAGCTGAAACACCTGCTATCGTCAGAACTACGTTGGACAACTGCACAGCAAAGCGGTTGTCCCGCTGAGGAGGAGGAGGGAGAGGGAGGGGAGGAAGAGGAGGAGGAGGAGGAGGAGGAGGAGGAAGAGGGACTACGTTCTCCGGAATGTTGTGCAAACTGCTAGTTTACATCATTTTCATTTTTTCATGTTCTAGTATTTCCCGTTGGTAGTTGTCATTATTCCTTTACTACGTGTATATACATATATATAAATATACCATACTAGATGTTGATCGCAAATTCTAGTGTCCAGTAGAACCCTACAGTTCTATATAGACAGGCCACCCATGAAAGTGGGGCGCGGGTGGGAAGACGAAACTCCAGACAATGTGTGAACATAGAAGGAATCCTGGGATTTGTCAATATTCGTTTGTGTGTCCCTTGGCCTCTTCAGCGTTTTCCTTCGGATCCGACTACCAAAAATGGCAACACTTCGGACGGGCGAGGTCCTGATTTTTTCAATGCGCGGCCCCGGGAAATCCCGACCCGTTCGTTGGGGCAGGCTTCTCATCCTGCGCCGTTTTTTGATGGTCCCGAGGCCCGGCGAGGGCCCCCAGAGGCCGACGACGGCCAAAAACCTCCCATCGTATTTTGTACGACGCGACCATGTCTAGGACGGCAGCAAAATGCTCCAGACCCCCGGGGCCCCGCCGTGCTGCGCCACGTTTCGAACCGGATCGATCGGTGAGGGCCCCGGGGGCCCGGAGCCGAGCGCAAACGCCTGGCGTGTAGCGCGGTCGCAGTGCCCAGATCGCAGGCGCGAGGACAGGAGGAGGAAGAGGATCGAATTACAGCAGGAGGAGGACGAGGAGAAGGAGGAGGAGGAGGAGGAGGAGGAGGAGGAGGAAAAGGAAGAGGATAGGAAGACAGGGCGACAGGAGGAGGAAGAGGACAGGAGCACAGGATGAGGAAGAGGGCAGGAATCGCAAGAACCATGCGATTCTCCTCGCGAGGCCCTCGCGGGGCGGGGTGGCGCAGGCGTCCTCGGGCCCGAGGGCACGCGGTGCCGCTACAGGAGGCACAGAGGCGCGGGCCCCCCTCGGGCGCCGGTCGCGGGTCTGCTGGGCCATCCACCGCACACGCCGCTCGTTGAAAGTGGGTATCCCAGACCCCCTCGCGCTGTGAAAAAATCATGACGGGAGGTTCTAGGCTGTTCTCGGCCTCCAGGGCCCTCGCCGGGCCTCGGGACTGTCACAAAACGATTCAGGATGAGAAACCTGTCCAGGCGAAGGGGTCCAGACCTCTGGGGGATCTTTTTGTGGAAAAAAGCATGGCGTCCAGGGTCCAGATTCTTCTTCATCCCCAGATCCCGGTCTACTTCTAGAGCCTTCCTACTTCAAGAGTCGGCATGGTTTTAAGGTGCTTGGCTGTTCTCTGGGAGTGTCTGAGCCCAGTCTACTCTACCGGCCTTCCTGCTTCCTTAAACACCCTGCTCGCCTCCAGGGTGCCCTGGGTTTCCTGGGTTTCGATGGTTTTGCTATGGAAAGCGCGGCGCTACTGCACCAAAACTCAATGGACTTCCTGGGGTCTCAGGGTTTGGCTTCTTGCAGAAGGTTTCTTGTGGACTTGCCTCCAGTGTACTTCTTCCGACCGACGGGTACGCGTCGGTCTTGAAAGTAGCTACCTTGGGACTCCTGGATCCCAATCTGCTTCCAGTGCCTTCCCATTTCAAGAGTCGGCATGTGTTTCAGGTGCTTGGTTGGTCTCTGGTGGGGCCTGGGCCCAATCTACTTTGCCCGCCTTCCTGCTTCATGTTTCTACCTACTTCTTCCGATCGGCGTGTACGCTGGACGCGACATGTCTGGTTTGGCGCTGCTATATCTGATCGAGCGTGTTCTACCGCTGCTGGCGGAAAACCGGGGGGGTGTCACTACCGGTTCGAACCCCCCCCTCTCCCCCCCCCTTTCCGGAAAACCGGGGGAGGGTCACTGCCCGTTCGAACCCCCCCCCCCGTCTGTCATGAAAAGGGGGGGGGGTCACTAACGGTTCGAACCCCCCCCTTCCCATCTCCCCTCCGGAAAATCGGGGGGGGTCATTGCCGGTTTGAACCCCTCCGCCCCCCCCGTCCATCATGAAAAGGGGGAGGTCACTGCCGGTTCGAACCCCCCCCCTCCCCCCCTCCCCTCCTCCCCTCCAGAAAACCGGGGGGGGTCACTGCCGGTTCGAACCCCCCGCCCCCTCGAAAACTGGGAGGGGGGTCATTACCGGTTCGTTCCCCCTCCCCCCCATTCGCCGCCGGGCCCGGGAGAGTGGGGACATTGACACACTGCTGGGGGCACTGGTGGGGACAGCGGGGACAATGGTGGGAACAGTGGGGACAGTGGGACAGTGGTGGGGACGGTGGTGGACAATGGTGGGAACAGTGGGGACAGTGGGACAGTGGTGGGGACGGTGGTGGTGGGGACAGTGGTGTGGGGACAGTGGGAATGTGGTGGAAACAGTGGGACAGTGGAGGGTACAGTGGTGGTGGGGACAGTGGTGAGGGCGGTGGCGAGGACGGCGGTGGGACAATGGGACAGAGGTACAGTGGGGACAGAGGTGGGGACAGTGGGGACAGTGGTGGGAACAGTGGGACAGCTCAGTGGGACAGCGGAGGAGACAGTGGGACAGTGACAGTGAGGACAGTGGGGACAGTCGGGCAGTGGATGGGGCCGTGGAGAAAGTGGGGAGAGTGAAACCGTGGAGGGGAGGGTGGTGGGGACAGTGGGGACAGTGCGACAGTGGTGGGGGCACTGGTGGGGGCAGTAGGGACGGTGGTGGAACCAGTGGGGACAGTGGTGGTGAGGACAGTGGTGCTGGGGACAGCAGTGGGGGATGTGGTGCGGACGGTGGTAGGGACCGGGAGTCGTTTGCTGGCGGTGAGCGTGGGGGGGGGGTTCGAACCGGTAGTGACCCCCCGGTTTTCGAGGGGGGGGGGTTCGAACCGGTAGTGACCCCCCCCCCCGGTTTTCGAGGGGGGGGTTCGAACCGGCAGTGACCCCCCGCGGTTTTCGAGGGGCGCGGGGGGGTTCGAACCCGTAGTGACCCCCCCTGGGTTTTCCGGAGGGGAGGGGGGGGGGAGGGGGGGTTAGGGGAGGAGGGGGTTTTGCTGGGGGAAGGGGGGTGGGTCCAGCAGGGGGGGGGATTTTCGGAGGACCCTCGGGTGCCGGAGGAAAAGGGGGGCTCATGCCGCAGACAGCTGTCGGACGGGGCTGGAACGAGGATGCATCCGTTCCAGAGCGTTCTGGAGCGCTCTCAGAGCGTTCTGGAAGGGTCCGAGAAGGCCGCGGCGCTCGAGACATCCTCCAGGGCCGCGGGATCTCAGAGATCTTCGATTTCTCCTCACCCGATGTTGTCCTCGTCCTGGCTTCGCCTTACCTGGTTTCGGGCCATGGGACCACTACTTCGGTAGCAAATCATGGGAGCCTGGCGTACCCTGTTAATTTCGTCTTTAGCGTCAATTAGCGTCGATTAACGTCTGGAGGCGCCGAGAGCGCCGATTTAGCGTCGGTTAGCATCGATTAGCGTCCATTTAGCGTCTACTAGCGTCGATCTAGCGTCAGTTAGCGTCGAATCGCAAGAGCCCACAAGATGGTATGGGAGGCTCCCGTGAGTTGCCACCGAGCACTACAGCTCGCTCTTGTTCATGTCGCAGACAGGTGGGGTCCAGGGCTCCGCTTGTATGATCTGCGATGCTGCATTTTTTCTGAGCGTCGGATCTTGGGTGGGCGGCGC